GTCCAACTTTTTGGAATGTTCAGATATATTTTGTCCTTATTGTGTTGTTATCCAGTATTTTCTTTATCATAATGCAGACATTTTATACAAACAGATTCTCACAGACGTGATCCTCGAGACATATTGAAAATTCCATATTCCTAAATCGTAGAAGTTAAAATATATACAAAGGTGAAATATATTATACATGACCTTTAAAAATTATCCTGAGGAAAATGACTATTTTCAAAACATTTAGAAGCTATCGGTAAATTTGCCTCGCAGCATGTGTGTGTACAGAGATTTAAACTTAGGCGTTTCTTTTGCATAAATAGTAAACAGTTTTCTATTTTTAATTTGGATATTGATTACTTTGTTTACAAGAATATCTGGTTAGTAAAGAAGCAAAACATCTTGTTTTTATACGTTTATAGTCAACGCAATTAGCGTAATTTAGATTAGTAATATAAGTATTAACTTTGGTCTGTTTATGATCGAACAGTCTATAGAAATAACGGATAATATTTAATAATTCTAGACTTAAGAGAAAGGAAACTAAAATCAAAGCTCGTATTCTTCCCGACGCAAACACTCAATTTTGGTTTATAAGTATTATAATATAATGATAATATATATAATATATATTTAATATATATAATAAATATATATAATGATAATATATAATGATAATAAAAAAAATCTCGTCTATTAATGGATAATCAATTTGGGATTTCAGTAGAAGTAGCCAATAAGTATTTTTGTTCAATGCATTGATTTTTAGAAGATGCTAGTAATTGTATAGAAAATAGAACTAAAATCAGTTAGTCATACCAATGTTTGAAATGGTATGTCTTTGAGATGTTTTAGGAAAAGGCAGTTCGGATGAATCGGCAAGTACTCGGGTTTTATTTCTCATCTTTAGGATCAGACTTCTCTTCAGCAACACAAAAATGAGTGCATTAAATCCATAGACAACACTGACTGGCACAATATTTCATCGCTCTAAATGTAAAATTCCGAAATGCGAACTAGAAACTGGAGATGTAGACACCAAAAAAATTACAGAAGTTTAAATGTCTGGGAAGCCAGAGGATGAAAAATGCGACACTGAAATCCGAACCGGCATTGGAATAGCAAAAATGCATTACAAAAGCTAAGCGAAGTAAGAGAAACAGGAAAATATAATTAGAATCAAAGTGTTATGAACTGTTATGCAATATTAATCCTCTTGTCAGGCATTGATCGTCCACATCCTGAAGGGACACGGCACATAGAAAAAGTAAGCTTTACATTAAGAAATTAGGATGCCCAATTAATATTTGATGATAACAGCTATCTTTAAAAACGATTTATTATTAATATACATAAGTAGATAAATATTAAATTTATTATAAGTGGGGTGAATATTTTGAGAGGTTGTTTCATTTTGTATTAAATAGTATTTAGATTTAAAGGAATTATATTTAACGTTTGTTAATTTAAAGATTTTGTTTTTTGCCTGGGCTTTGACAGAATGCTAATATTTGTGGAAATAATTTCTTTGAGATTTTACTACCGAGAAAATTTTATTATTCAAAGAAATAATACACTTTTGAGGAACGAATTTTAAATTATCTACATATCGAAACGTGTTAAACATTTTGAACAATCCGGAAGGAACATCATAGCTAATTAGCTGAAATCAGAGGATAATTGAAATTCCGGCCTTTGAAAGAAACCATTGACTAAAAAATAATGACTTTGAACCTGAGACAATATAGATAAAAAAAATCGTTCACAGTGCGAAATGGCCTTAATTTCATTTTCGAAGTTTTGTTTGCATAAAGGAAATGTAATTCGCTTCAAGTCACGATTTTTGTTTTCGATTTTTAGTAGAAAATTGTTGTTCTCGACTGTCAATTCAATTGGTCGTCTGAGAGATGCTAAGTGCTTTCTAGCCAAGCTTCTGGCCTAGAAGGTCACCTTTTGGTTACAATGAAGCAATGTTAGTAAAACCCATAACTGGTATATTTGAAGACACACAGTAATATTGCTTTAGACATACCATCGATTGTCATCGACTGAATTTTGTTAGGGATTTTGTGCAACTTCGAATAATATTATATCTTGTATTCATAGACACGTAATTAAGAAAAAATGATAATGATGATTTTTATCACTGATGAAATAAGCAAATCAATTTCAGATCAATTAACGATGCTGAATTTGATGTAATGAGATCAAGGGTTAAAATGTTAAATCTGAGGTATGATGTATGATGCCAGATAAATATTAATTTCTTCTCTCGGTAAATTGAAAAGTGTTCGTTCTGATTTTTGGTCATTACAATATTGATTTTAAGAAGAGGGTCAGGCCTAGAATATATATGACAGGTCAAGTAATGTTTTTCTTATGAATCAATGTTTATAGTCCTCTTTCAGTAACTATATTTTCGTATAAATTAATGAAATTAATTTTATTTTCATTGTATATTTATGTAAAAATTACCATTTTTAGCTTTGCATATTTGAATAAATTATTAGCAAATGCTGTATTTTGCAATTTCAAAAAATTTTCATCTATCATCATTATTATATTTTTTCTCTCTTTATCTTTAATTCTGATGCAAATTTAAATATGTTGAAGCCATTCAACCGTACAAGTTGAAAAATTTTCATAAATATATAATGCATATAACAAAATCGGCGACTCATTTTATGCTTCTTTCATGTACGGGAGATAACTCTTGTTTTTCCCCAATAGATTTTAAATGGATTTTTTTTGTATTAATGTATAAGAACGGTTTTCTGTTTATTTCAAAAATTCATTTTCTTTACACTCAGTTTTGCTATTTGAATATTACATTTTACTAATGCCTTTCTCTTGATTATCGATTATTCTTGTACAGTGTATATTTTGTAGAACTAGTTTACACAATATCGTTTACTTTTGTAGTCATATTCAAGCTAGGTTTCTTTGAAAATAAGTGAAATAAATTAAATGACTTATATAATCCATGTAAACGGTTCAATAAGATACGCAGAGATTCAATTTATAGACAGAAAAAATAGCAAATTCAAAAGAGCCAATTAAAGGTTGAAAATCATGAACCAGGTAAAAACATCGCTCAGCATGGTGAGCTTAGAAGGACATAACATTTGAGATAAACTACAAGATAATGTGATAAATATAGTCATACCTATTGGAGTAAGCCTATCACAATTTCTCTGAAAGCAAAGACAATTCTCTAAGAGGAATGTTAACACTTTGAAAATGGATCTTTATAATATTTTCTATAAAAAAGTTTAATTGAAACTAATCTGATTACGTGTTTTGGCCTGACTAAGTTTCACCAAAACCAAAAATGAAAGAAAGAAATATGTGTGTGTACTTGTGTGCATGCTTAACTAATAAATTATTAGTACTTTTTCCGCTAAGCTGGCGTTTGTCGTGATAAAAGAAAAGAATGAAAGTGTGAAAGGCCTTTAATATTTATTCTGTATCTTTTCTTTATTATTCTTAATTCATGTCGAAAATTATTAATATATTTTCCAAGCCTTTCCGTATTGAATTAATGGAAAATCCTCGTCTTATATTCAGAATGGCTCGAAAGCAAGAGATTCAAATCGGCTTTTCTGAAATTAATTTAAGGTAAATCCTTATCCAATTTTTCAGAATACATTGATCTGATGAAGCCTAGAAAGGCGAAACGCGTAATCAAATTTAGTTTCAATGAAACGTTTTTCTGTTTGTCAAATTTCTTTAAAACTTTGTTGGGATTCTGTATCCTATTTTAAACATATACTATCAACATGGAAAGCACATTTACATGGATTCCTTCTTTCATGAGGAGAAACGCCAGATTAGGGGAAAAAGTACTAATGATTCATTATTTAAGCATACACACACACACAAATACACACACACAGAGATACACACACATAGAGATACACACACATATTTCATTCTTTCGTTTTGGGATCTGATGAAGACTGGAAAAGTAAAACACGTAATTTGATCTAGTTTCAATGAAATGGTTTTCCATTTGGCAAATTTCAAAACATTGTCGGGATTCTATATCCTGTTTTAAACACAATCTTTTTTACAAATACAACAAATCTTTTATAGAAGTTTTTAATACTAATCATAATGATTTCATCCTTGTTCCATACAACATTTGACATGTTTACTGAAGTTCATCAATATTTAAATTTAACTGACTGGAATATTTCCTTTGTAAAATAAAATATGTATATAGAAAACGAATAATTTATTTCCGTATTATTTTTTTCCAAATTTTAATTGAAACCGACATGCTACAATTGTTGATACTTTGGAATTTGAGGCGGGAAACTAAAATGGAAATAATTATATTTATCCTCATTATAAATTCTGGCAATTTAGATTCACATCTGTCGAGTGAGATTTCACAAGTTTGCAATTAAATAAAGAAAAAAATATAGACATTATCACTGCCACAACATTGGATAGTAGCTATATAAGGCGCCAGTTAGTCGTATCAGACATGGAAAACTTGTTTATATACTAATAAAGGATGACCGAAACAAACGGACATTTTAGAAGGAATAAAACGAGTTTTAGTGTAGATAATAATTCGTGTTAGAGGAAGAAGAATGAAAATGACTAGAAATTGTAGAATTTCATCAGCTAAATATAACTTTGAAAATGAAAACAATATAAAAATTTGTAAGGTTTCAACTATTTCATTGAACAAACGATAAATTTCTTTTTAGTCAAATGATTATCTAAGAAAAGTACCATTTTTAGTGTTTGGCAGTTCACTGTCATTGAAGATACTAATTTCAAAAACGGAAAATCCTTTAATCCGACTGGTGCAATTTTGTTTTATTTATTTATCTTTTAGATTATAATAATTTTAGTGATACAAGTCTTATTAATTAACCAATAGCTAGGAGAGAAGAGGTGGATTCATGCCTTTTTCCAAGATTATTTGCGTGTCAGGGAATATAACAAATTCAAGTAACAACTCAGAGCCATTATCCATTACACCATATCTGAGCATACTATACCTGGTATTCACAAGCGTCACACATCTAGGTACTGATATGGCTCAACGTTGCTTAACTTCCGTGTTCATTCGTGAACCTGTGTTTAATTGTGATATGGCCGTAAGACAAAACTCAATTAAAGGAAGTAAAATTGCGCTCATCTGTTTTGTAAAAGGTGGCACCACAAAACTCTTAAAGATGAAACAATGACGCTCACTTAACTTTTATATATATAGCATATTGAGTTAAAATTGTCTTCAGACAAAAATATGTATTTTTATTTGTGACTTTTCTATTTTCACTGATTTCAATAGTTGTTTCTTTGTTAGTTGTAATGAATTTTGCCATTGAGATATAGTGTAGATAGAAATTGTTACATCTGTCGAAACATCATATGAATTCGCTATAATTTTAGAAGTATACAAAAACACAAAACAGAAATCTATATGTGGAAGAAAATATCTACTTTTTTATGTACGTTTCGGACAATTGATTGACGTTTTCGGTTTTGGGGTTTTGCGGTGGATGAAAAGGTCGACTCAGTGATGTACATTTGATATTGTGAAAACGATTGGTTGGACAATCGAAGAAGAAATATCAATATAAGGAATGTTCGACTGTAAGCTTCAAAAAGCCGTTGAGTATAAAAAAGTGTAACATCAACTTCATCACAAAGAAGTAGGTGGATTTATTTTTTTATACATATGTAACAGTAAGGCAAAAAAGTGTTCACACTTTGATCTATCTACGTACCGGCAAGGTTAGTAAATAATGCAAATATTTGCATAGGAAAATGTTAGTTTACTATTGGTAAAACATTTCAATTCTTTGAGATTTTAGCTAGACCCTTTGATATGCTTATCATGTAATTATAAATTTGCTGGTAATGCAATAGTTAGCGGCACGAAACGAGATGTCGGACAAGCCGAGGTGGAATTCCAGCGATTTCGTTACATTCACTTTCGTACAAATACGAAAGATAAGAATTCATTTTTCTACCCCCATCTATGGGTTAAATAGCATGTCAACTGGTTTTTCTATCAGAAGGACAACTCTGGATTAAAAACCCCATGTAGCCCTAGTGAAGCGCATACTATGAAGCCATGTAAGCAATTAGGGAGTTCACAATTAATTACGAAGTGTTCGGTCGACTGGTATTCTAAATAGACATTTAAGCCCATAATTCAAGACTAATAAAGCCTTCTTCAATTTATTAATTTAAATAGACTATTTTAGTTAAATTTAACTTTATTGAATAAATGATTAAGTTCCATTTAGTTCCACCGTTTTCTGCCATCGTTGTTGTACTCTTTGTCGACTCTGTCGTAGCCAAAACAGGTACAAATGATTATTAGCTTTTAATTTGGTCCGTTGTTGATCACCTATATCGTATAACGTTTAATCATCGTAATGCAATGCATTGATTTGATCTGTATCAGTCCCTGGTCTATTCAATCGTGGAGCCTTGTAAAACTTTATAAACCACTTTAGACACAGATGATCAATCATATTACCTTCTTTATGAATTGCACAAATCTTCTCTCGTTAGAATAATTACGACTGAGTAGTCAGTTCGATTCTCACTGTGTGCCCCGTGATTTCGTCCTTGTGCCGCAACTAAGGTACTCTTAAAAATCATCATAAAATCTGTGCTATTTAAAATACATTTAGATCTTTATTACTGAAAAAGAAACGGTATTTTTTATGCTGGCAAATACGATTTTTTTTTAATCAATTCATCCTAAAAATGATGATAATGCAACTAATGTGCAAGGGTCTTTTGGGAGTGAAATAGTGTCTTTAGAAGGAAGCAGAAACCCAATCCTAAGGAGGAAACAAGGGATAAACCTCTACTCCTGTTCAAAAGACTGGGGTGGAGCGTGAGCCAAATGGTAGGCGACCCTGTCTACTCCTATTTATTAGTATTATTTATTTTATTATTACTATAATTCTGATTGTGTGAAAATTTTAACAACTTAATTTATTTCGTTTTTTAAACCAATGTAAGAGAACGGTGGGTTTGTTTGTTAATTAACTGCAATAATAGGAAACACGATTATAACCAAGGCCGGTTTTAGATGAAGACAGTCCCTTGGCTATTCCACTTGTGAGGCGACGCCAATTTCCCTATTTTCATGAGTGGAGTAAACAATTTGAGTAAAGCCGAGGATGATGACTGGTGTTTAAAATTACTGAAGGCTTATTTAGAGTCTACAATGCATTATGACAACATGTGTAAGGAAGGCCTATGACAGTGTCAAAAATATTATACACATTGGCTGGAGACCTCCTAGATTTTGAGGCCCAAGACTTCAGCCTGCTAAGCCCATAGATAAATCTGGCACTGGTTATAACATTTTTGTATTGTGTTTGCTTAAGCCGATTGTCAATTATATTAGTTTATAAACGGATTTCTGTATTTATTTAATTATATTTATGCAAACTAACTCACTTCAATTTAAATAAAAATCATTGAATATTTATGAAATACATATAAAATAATCTACCAGAAACATTCTTACATGATCTCTAAATATTTATACACATTAATTTAATAGCTAATTAAGCCATCAGCAAACAATGTATGCATTTGTATGCGAGTGCCTTTGTATGGATTTTAGAGTGGGGCAATATCATATAACTTGAGTGACATGAAATAGAATCATAAAGTAAGAATGTTTCTGAAATTATTCATTGGTTTCTGGAAAAAAGTACCATTATCAGAGCGTAATATATTTGGGGAAGTAATTTAATAAAGACCATTGCAATAATAAAAAGATAGCAACGTAGAATATGTGTCATTCTTCAAATAACACTTGTAATTAATTATATTCAATAATATAATACATAATTTATTTAAATAGCCGTATCGTTTTCTTCTTGACCTATGTAAGCCAGAGCAAGCAACCAATAGTTACATCATGGCCTTTGAAAGTGAAAAATCAAGAAGTTTCCCCCTGGCATTTGCATATTTCAGCCAGCGAAAAGAAAACCAGTTTTACCTAAAGAACGATTTATGCTTAAGGGAAATAGACAGACATACTTTAGCATCTTGAAATCTTCCATTAAGACTGATTAGGGAGTCTTTGTTACTGCTCAGAATCAGCTTCTTCTCTCTGGAGATTGGAGAGAATCCAGACCGAAGTGTCGCATGAATAGGATTCTCTTCAGGCTCTCACACATCCTGCATGATCACAGAAGAAGCAGACAGTGATTATTGATGTTAGCTATAGGCGATAATATTGAAATTACAAAATAAGGCCCTGTGAGACATTGTAGAAAATCGATTACACTTGGAAAGTAAAAAAAGATTATCAGAAATGTCCACAAATAAAGACTATGGGAGCTAAAAGAAAGCTATAAAAGTTATTCAAACATTTGTTAAGGTTCTGTGGGTATTTTACTAAGTTGATGAGGAAACCGTTTTATATATTCAAAGTAGAGTCTCTAGCCTAGCATGATAATGGAAAGTAGGTGATCCTATTTTCATTCAATAATAACAAAATGAAGATCTCTTCTAAAATTATTAATTTCAACAACAAGTTTACGTAAATACCTTTTATTTTCTTCTCAGTAAACGTAATGACTGCGAAGTATTCTTGATCCTGCCATTTTTTAATATGACAAAAGTAAGGATTTATTTTAAAATTTAAAATTATTCCTAAAAGTTTGGGGTCAAAGTAATTTCTTTAAAGAATGTGGAAGTGGTTCATGTTTCGAGCAAAATCGAAAGAGTAGCGCCTTTTGTTTTCGGTCAATGAAGAAATTTTAATTTTTTTCATCTAAAAGAAAATACTTAAATAAACATTCTACTACAGCAAATTGAAAGTCGTTGTCAAGAACTGTGCGCGTATATTGAAGGGTGTATTAAAAAAAAGAGCATATTCAAATTCCCGATGCATGATTTTCCGTCTGACTGTTTCAGATAACGTCATATAAATTTTAGTTTCAACAAAAAACGACTGAATTTAGTCACATCAATTTTTACTTACGGTACTGATCACTTGCAATTCTACACAATGACTGTATCAGTAAAAAAGACCCGAATATAACAGAACAAAATAATACACATTTTATTCATAATTTGTATCCCCATATAAACCACCTCTGTCGTAAATTGGAAACACAATATAAAATGTTTAATAGAAATTTCTTGTTGGCATCATTTAATAATATTATATACACACACACACACACACATATATATATATATATATATATATATATATATATATGTGTGTGTGTGTGTGTGTGTTTAGGTAGATGGAGCTCGACAGATGACGCGGACCCTTCATCTACTGAAATCTAAAACCTTGATTTTAAACCTCCAATCTCTTGCAGTCATATCCAACCAAACACGGAAAGAAAAACCCGGAGTGGAGCCCGGAAGGCTGTTGGCAGTCAAAACTGACAACTTTCCGGCAACACCTGCTTCCAAGCCAGAAGCCGAACCCAAATATAACGCCCTGTATTACCCTGGATCTTGTCGGTACAGCCAAGAGGGGAGGGTGTAACACTCCTTTTAGTTTATATAAGTGATCTGCCTAAGAGTATACACCGGTCATTTGTGAATATCTATGTTGCTGGTACAACAGGATGTGGGTGCACCTCCCAAACTCTAGATGACCAGAGATTGGCAGATGACCTCTCCTTCGATCGACCTTTGACATCACAGTGGTAGTGGTGGTGGTGGGTGGGGAACTGGCTGGTTACATTTAATGCTTCGAAAACCAAATTAGTTACATTTCATTTGAACTATTACCAATCACGATGAATGGTTGTCCCGTTAGGGAGGTCCCGTGTCTTCGGCGTCTATTAGAACAAATACAACCCAGCCCACAAGTTTAGCTCGTACATATCACCCATTGCTAAAGATGGTCAGTTCTTTGTACCGGTCCAGTAAATTACTGACGCCTACTGATATTCTCTGCCTTTATATACTAGAGTCAGGTTAGGCCTAAAATGAAGTACAGCAGCCATATATGAGCAGGAGTTGCCCAGTCTTGACGTATCTCTGCCTCTTTGTGCGTGACAAACAATTTTCCACTCTACAACCCCTTTCTCACAGATAAAATGTTGCAAGCCTCTCATTAATCTATCGCTATTTCCATGGAAAGTGTTAAA